TTCCCCCCAAAAAAAAAAAAAAAAAAAAAAAAAACCGTATTCTATTCTCTCATTTGTTTTTAATTAATTAATTATCTTACTTGTTTTTATTTTTCTTTTAACAAAGCCTAAACGCCGATTCCTCACTTTATCTACCGAAAATGAAATTCTCCGGGGTCTCTTTAGTTTCCCTTCTTTTCTCTCACTCCAAACACCTAAAGAAGGCCTAAAGCGCCTCCGAATCGATTCCCATGGCCTCAACAGATCAGATCTCGCTTTCTCTCTCTAACAAGCAACCATTTCACTCCTAATCGATGCGCCAAATTCTCCATTTCTCTTCCTGAGAAGAACAGACGGAGAGGTTTTTCACTTCGTTAATCCACATTCCATGGCGACCTTGCAGAAATTCAAGCTCCTCGCGACTCAATGCGCCGTCGCCGGAAGCCCCACGCGAAGCCCGTCGGCGAGTCCCGTCATCCATCTCCGCCGACGCAAGACTTTGCGGATGCTCCTCAACCGCCCAGAGCGTAGACTTCCCCGCCGCGAGGCATCGTCGGAGGTCAAGGACATTGACGAAGACGGCGGCGACGATCGGCCGGAGAAGAGCAAGGACGCCAGGGTTCGCCAGAAGTTGAAAGATCTGTTCGTGTCGTCGCCGCCTCTTGAAGATAGGGTTTCGGATAATAGAGGCGAGAGAGAAGACGAAGAAGAAGAAGAGCGAGGGTTGTTACCGCCAACCGGAAGCGTTATTGGTGGATTTAGTGTCGGCGGAGGCGGATTGACAGCTCGGCGGCGCGGAACCGGCTCGCTCAGGCCGGTGACGGCGGGGTTCCGGTACAGATTGCTCAGGAGAGCTTGGCGACCCGTACTCGTTTCAATCCCTGAGTAGAAATTAAAAAAATAAAAGTAATATGGAAAAGGAAATCAAAATGTACGGGAAATTCCAGAAATTATTTTTCGTTTGATTTTATTTGTTTATATACATAAGTATTATTAGATTTCTGTTGTGAAAATATTATTTTAGTTTTTTCTTACCAAAAAAAAAAATTTGGTTATTACTTATTTTTCTATTTTTTCTCTTTTTTAATTTTCTTTTTTTTTTTTTTTTTTTGCCTATACGGATTTTAAGAAGACGGTGTTCTACGTTTTGCCGGCGTAGTTTGCTAATGTGCGCGGTGTGTTGATGAAGGAATAAAACGGCCACAGCACAGAACTGCGTGTGTAAGTATCTCGGTACGTGTTGGCGTGGAAGTTCATGTTTTCTGTTACCAACGGCACATTTTTATAAAAAAACTGAGCTGTGCGATTTTTACTCTGAAAATAATTAGTATCATCTCAAATATGTATATGTAATTATTGGGTTTTGTACATCTTGGAATGTTTTTCGACTCTCAAAAATTTGCTTTGTTTTCTTCTTGTAGTTTGTATGATTGTATCGTAATACGAAATATCTGTTACCTTTTCTTTTTTCTTTTTATTATACTATATGGGATCGAACCAGTATCATTTCCTAAATTCCATCCCAACCTCCAGTGCAATCCTTTTTTTTTTTTTTTTTTTATCTTTTTTACAAGCAAAAACTCTATTGAATGCCAAGAACCGTAGCAAATTGAATACGTGAAAACTTTTTGGGGCACCAATATTAGAGCATTAAACGTCTAATTCGAATTGTGTGTTTGATTAGTAGATTCGTACTATGATTTGAATCATGATTCGTGATTCGTTACAATATTATCTCTGATAAAAAATATACGTAAATCGAAAATAATTCTGAATTTATGAACTAAATGTTAATTTAAACGAAAATAACTTCAAATTTCATTTAAATGACTCCAATTCTTATAGGGTGAATGTGCGTTCTGACCTCTAGAAGATGTTATAAATCAGGAGGACAAGGTTTAGACAAAGTTGAAAATTAAAAAATGGAATAGGAAGGGATTAAGACAAAAGTAACGAGGAAGATAACAATTATCAACAAAAGTGTGCCTTTATTGCAGCTTCCATGTGTTGTTGCTCAGATACGTTCCATTATTATGCTTTAAGAGCTGTGCAGAGTACAAAATTAGTTTATACCCGTACAATACAGTGGGACCCAGTGAACCGTTTTTTAAGCTATAAAATGGATTGGCATTCATTGGGGTGAGGCATTAAACTCGCACACCGTACATGGGGCTTATCATATTCTTCTATTCCCTAGATTCTATTTTTTCTATCTTGGTCCAATATCCGTATGTTGACACATATTAGAAAAATGAGGAAAGAATTTTAGGTAAAAGTGCATGTAAATACGACACAAAAGGCGAGAAAATCAAAATTCAATAACTATCAGCAAACTGATAGGCCCGTTTGACAGTATTTTTAAAATGGTTTTATTTTAAGAATTAAAATGAAAATTAGAATTTTTTGTGAATGGTGTTAGGATTGTTTCTAAAATTTCATTTAGTTATTCTTCTTAAGATTTTTTAGATAAGAAAAAAATGAAATTGTATTTAGGCATGTTTTTGAAAATGTGTATTTATGTTATAGTTTTAGAAAATGAAAACAAATTTCAACCATTTTCTATTTCTTTAACAAAAACCATTCTCAATATTTTTTTGTCTTCGTTTTCGGTTTCAAAGCATTTGATGACCAAACGCGATTTAGAGACTGATTTCATTTTCGCATCTCAAAAGACGTGCATAAACGTTTTAAAAAACAAATGAAAATGAAACCAAATGCACCCAATGTTATTGCAGTCTGTTACATTTTTTTAATTCCTTTTCATAGGAGTACATTTTTAATTTTTAAACATACAAAAGAAAAAAAAATTGTTAATAGACATACAGGATCGTAGAACCGTTGCTTTGAAAAGCCACTATCAATAACATAGACAATCCCTGCATAGAATAGAGGAATTACAGCATATGATGATGCTTTATTCCGCCACCAAGTACAATTAATTAAGTCTTACGAATATCCATTGAAATGCAGACGTGTGCAATACCTCCAAAGTTAAGGACGTTTCTGCAACATTTGTTGATATCACTACTTTCCTCTTCCCTCTAGGAGTGGAAGTAAACACAAGCTCCTAGAAGCAGAAAGGTAGATTCTTAAGTTCCTCTGAAATAAACACCCGTACAAATCAAAGTTATCCATTGAGATACAACAAAACGCATAACTTACCTGCTCAACATGTGGAAGACCAGAGTAGAGAGGCAAAGTAAGCAATCCTGAAAAAGATTATGAGATATAGAAATCTCAGACACATTTGGCATAACCTTGCATCTGATGCTTCAAAATAACACTCCAACTACAAAGACCAGCACAAAACTTTTCCAATATTTTCGTAACAAATTGGATAAAAGTGAATAAATGAAACAACAACAATAAAGAGCTGAAACCGAGTAGAAATACTACGTTCCTTGTACCTGAAGAGTTTCTCCCACGGCTTTGAACTTCTTCCTTAAGCATTTGTACGCCAGCATCAATATCATCTTGTCCAGTAAGAAACACCAAAATATGAAAATTGAGGATGTGCTCCCAAAGAGCATAAAATCTGCAAAGACGAGCTCTCCTCCCTTCGGATCTCCGACGAAGCTCTAGATCTTGCGACCTTCTAATGAGATATTGTTGCCTTCTGGAGAGATATCTTGTACTAAGAGATCCTGCGTTACCGCCTGTTAGAGATTCGGCGTCGAAGCGGCGACGAATGAGTGGAATCTCAGACGGTGACAAGAGGAACTCCGATGATGAAGGTACAACGACGGCGATCTCACGACACTGATATCCTGACAAATTCGCGATCAGGAGAGCGCTGGCGACAGTAGACGAAGGGGCCGGAGGGAGAGAGAAGAGAGAGATGAGCCGGAGGGAGGAAGGGAGCGCATAGAGAGAGATGTTAGCTGGAGGAAAAAAAGTAAATGTGACTCCTCGAATATGTGAAATGAATGGGACCCCAAGACTTATTCATTTGCACTAAAATTAAAAAAAATAAACTTATGTTATAATTTCATTTAAGTTTAAGTTTTTTTTTTTTCAACTCAAATTTCTAAATTCAAATTCAAATTAATGAACAGTTTTTTTCTATTCTTAAAAACATAATTTTTTTTATTTTAATTCTGATTGGGATGATTTTTTTCTATGCGTTCACAATGAAAAGACGAATAAAACTATCACTATTGAATTTTTATTAAAATATTATATAAATACAAATTCATGTTTTGACTCACCCAAACACAAATTTAAATAGATTCACAATTCAAAACATAACTCAAAATGTGCACATCCAAACACACTCAAATTAAAATTCTAACTTAAACCATACTCAAATACATTTTAACTTAAATCAAGATCTGAATTCAAGTCACCCTAACTCAAAAAATATAAATGAACAAGCCCTAAAGTTTTGAATATCATATTTTAAATGAGAGTGTTTTAAGTCTTTTAAGATGTGGTCTAAAATATTCTTAGTTAGTCTAATAACTTAGGGGGCGTTTGGTATGTAGGAATCAGTAGGAATCATATTCCCAGAAAAGTGATGGAGGGTAATATAATTCTTAAGAATAATACATTACTATATTTGGTTTCATTCAAGAATCTTTTACAAATTCTCAGGAATATTACATTACTGTGTATGGTTGTTCGCATGGAATAAGATCCATAATAATAATAATAATAATAATAATAATAATA